AGAAGACGACGGCGGATTCCTTTTGACCAGCTGTCGATTGGCTTTATTGGAAGATTCATGCTGACGCTGTTTCCGAGGTAATTGTTTTTGATTCAGGTGAAAAGGTGCTAATCTTTCGTTTATCATATGATGGACATCATCAGAGCGAGGTAACATTGTCACAACAAAATTCAAGCTAACGAGTCAAGAAAACTCACCCGCAAATCCCTAAAAAACGGTATATATACTTTATATCTGGCCTTCGTGATCGTCATATGACGGACGAAAGCTTAGCACATTTTCATTGGAATCAAAGGTGATTATCTCGGAAGCAGCGTCAGCATGAATCTTCCAGTAAAGCCAATCGAAAGCTGGTCAAGAGGATTCCACCGTCGTCTTCTGGTGGAACCGACCTTTGAATCTCTTCACCCAAAACTTTCACTCGAAATGGAAGTAAGCCCAACAATTATATAACAAGAGATTTTTTGAAACCCAACTCTTCTTCGCATATCTTAGATTATACTTCTTGGATATTGCGATATTCTTGCTGTTTACACTTCTTGTACAACACAGGTCTCAAAAGCGGGTGGGCTACGAAGGAAAGCAAAGAAAATTTGTTTCTTGAGAAGCGCCTTGGCTTACAATTGCAAAGCTCACTTACATTTTTATGTTGAAGAAATCACCCTATGACCTTATCTGCTTAAATTGACTCAAACATGGACCACCGAATTTAGATTTACTTTATACTTTGTGCTGTGTTTGCGTCTAGTTAAACAAATACACATACACTGGCAGGTTTCTCTTATTTATCTGACTTTGTTGCCAGAGGGTTTTTTCTTTCACTTTTTACTGCTTATTCTTTAAATTTTTTATAGTCTCCACGAATATTACGTCGGATGTTGCCCTCACACTTGGATCGTTTATTTGACGCATTCGACCACAGCATCACTGATTCGATGCCCGCGTCATGGCAACTCGGATGGTTAGTTCCACCATTCAATTTGCCCCAGACAGCTCTTGACCATTTCGATTCTGCTGGGATTTTACCTCGTCGCCTGCTTCGCGGTCTCCTCGAAGAGTCCTACACAACAGCGTCAGATGTTGTTGAGGCTGAAATCACCGTGGAGAGAGCCTGCCATTTGGAGCCAGACGAAATGTAGGCCCTAGAATAAGTACCCCCCCTACAAGAATGCCTACCAATTGCAAATAATTTTCCAATATTGTGGTATTTCGACACTCGCTCTGGAAATTGTCACTAAACATCAGGGTCTACTCAAAATTGGTAGGAAGACCTAGAGGAAGGCACATAGTTCATTGTCCAGTGTATGTCCGACAAGAGTCGGACCGTGCACATGGTACATTTCCAGACGTTTCGCCGGCATCGTAGTCGGCATCACAATGAGTCTTGCCAGTCTTAGCAGCACACTACAACTCGTCAAAGAGACAAGTGAAGCCAATCCTTTGACCAATTGTCTGCTAAAA